ATATATATATATATATTTGATTCAAGGGAAGCTTCATTTCAAATGAGGCTCTACAGGGGGTTTATTCGAGCAAAGCATTTATTTAAAAATATACGGTATAACAGGCCAATGTTAATGTAATTTAAATAAAACCATAACACAGTTCCTTTTTATATTTCATTTAGGTATTCTCGTATGAGTCCTGAGAGGTTCGATCACCTGGTGAGTTTAATACATCTTCTGGAGAAAAAAACAACAAAACTAAGGAAACCAATCAGTGCCAATAATAACGTTGAGATACCTAGCTACCGGCGATCAACAGAGTTCGCAGTCATTTAACTTCTTGGTTGGTAGATCCACTGTCTGCAAAATAATCAGAGAGACATGCCAAGCAATCTGGAGTGTGTTGCAGCCATTATATATGGCAATGTCACACATTTCCGGTCATTGGAAAAACATAGCTCAAGCCTATGAAGATACTTGAAATTTTCCTCATGTCATTGGAGCAATTGAAAGCAAACATATCAATATTGAATGCCCAAAATTCGGAGGTTCAATGTATTATAACTACAAACAGTTCCACTCGTCTGTTTTTTTGGCATTATGTGGTGCCAGGTATGCATTCACCTACGTCAATATTGGTAGTTATGGCGGTATGAATGATGCCAGCATTTTCAATCGATCAAAGTTGCATGAAGAACTTCAAAATGGCACATTTCCCTCGCCAGTACCAGAAAACTCAAGACCATATTTTATTTTGGGGGATGATATATTTCCCCTCAAACCCTGGCTGATGAAACCGTATTCAGGAAAAGATTTGTCCTTCGAATCAAGGGTGTTCAATTACAGGCTCTCAAGAGCCAGGAGAACAATTGAAAATTCATTTGGGATTCTAGCAGCACGATGGAGGATATTCCGTCGCCCAGTCCGTGCCAATATTAGCACAGTTGATGACATTATTAAAGCCACGTTGTGTTTGCATAACTACTTAATAAAAACAGAAAATGCTAGGTACAGCCCAAGTGGCTTTGTGGACTGCTATGATGGAGGTGAGCTTGAAGAAAGAGAGTGGCGCAATGTGGTAGAAGGTGACAACGGCATGGGAGCATTACAGGCAAATCATGCTAATAACTATTCATTTGATGCTAAAATGATCAGAGACAATCTGCGTGAATACGTAAACTCTGTAGATGGGTCAGTAGCATGGCAAAATGAAACAGTTTCCTATTGTGGGCGAAAGACATAGTCTTTCATCCATCTCATGGATTTCCAGATGGAACATGAACACTCGTTAAGTAAATTACTGTATAGTTTCTTTTTATGACAGATTACATACATTTTGACTTAAATTGATAAATCAAAACCATATGGTAGTTTACTGTATTATATTTATTTATACTTATTTTTTTTTAAAGATCATCAGAGATGGGCAGAAAAAATAACATTTTATTGGTGAATGTAAACTGTATATACAGTAATTAAGAAGAAATATACATATCTTATTTTTGAGATATTGAGGCAGCAGTGGGCATAATCAAAATTTAAAAAAAAATCTTTTCTGAAATGTTCGTGACAGGGGTGTGCTAATTTGCCACTAAAGTTTTATGTTTATTCGAAACCATTATTAGAGCAGTTGATACAAATGGGTTTACTAAAAAAAAGGCTAAATCTGCTTTGCAAAAATTTATATATATAAGATTAAATGGTACTACTTGATCCATATTAGGATCGGAGTGTTAGTTTCTATGTTAAGAGATATGCAATGTCTAATGTTTATGACAATTTTTGATCAGTGGTTTGTATGTTATAATAAATGTTTGTTATTTAACATATAGTATCTAGAAATGCTGTATTGTGCTACTTTCATTATGGTTTGTCACTTATTAAATTAACACTACATTAAAGAAACAACATCTAAATCTAGTACTGTATTGATGAAAAATTCTTGTATTCTTTACTTAAATAGATCTATTTAATTTTTTGGAATTAGGCCTATGATAAATTTCTGTAGCAACTACAGATATGTTGTGCTACTTGAAGTGGTGTGTTAACCTATCCTGGTATTCCTCTAAATTAAAAAATCTAGCCTATCTAGGGAATTAAAAAATATTTTAATGTCATCGTCAAATTGTTAAAAAAATTTTTACAGTACATGCAGAACTACCAGAAAATCAGAATCCAGATAATTTTATAAATATTTTTTACATTTTATTTTCAATAATAATAATACACATTGATTGGCAACTGGTAAATAACTCTGAAAATATGAACGACAAATTTACTCTAGGCAAGGCTGTATTGTACACAAAAGTTTTCTAGGTATACAGTGGCAACATTATACTGTATATTCACATCAACAACTACTTTGGAAATAAAAACTATTTGCAGCAAATCCCAGGAAAGATAAAATTGCATTGGATTGATACAAGATGGTAAATGATAAGTAAATATACAATACATACACACACATTACAGTCCATATATACATACAAACGAAAATAAAATGGTTTAAAACAAGTAAAGAAAACACATTTTGTAAGGAAACATTTAAACTTCATAAAATTGTTCACTGCCTTTATCATAAAGGCAGGGATATTCTCGCACAATTTCCATGAACTCTGACTCCTTTGTGGAAACCATGATGACGTTCCTTTTGAGACGACCCAGTTGTTGTTTTGCAATTGACTGAGCGTGCGTAGATGAGGCTTTTTCTTGCGTTTGCCTCTTGCGTTGACGTAAAATTCAAACCGGTTTGAATTTCCGCTATCGACGCAATTGCTGTCGCAAGGGACGGAACACTCTACGAAAAGTTGAACTGCGTATGAGTAGCGTCGATGTTGCGTTGTGTTGCCTAGTTTGCGTCGTCGGTTCCCACTTGGAAGCCGCAATACCCTCGCGTTGCGTCACTTTGCGTCGATACGTCGCGTTTGCGTCGCTGCGTTGCGTCCTAGTGGGAACCAAGCTTTACAAACAACATTCACGCTGCGTATAAAATAAAATAAGAATTCGTAGATGACGTGTTAGATTAGATATGGAACGCCGGAAGCGCTTTCAGTCTACATGGCTTTGAAGCAAGAGAAAGCGTCGTTGAGCACTAACCAAATTGCAGGAAGGGCCAATAAGAAGTATATAATGTACATATTTTTTTTGTAAACAATCTATGTGTCTGTTTTGATGCATATTTAGAAGAGAATTAATGTTAACTAGATTTGAACTCGTCACTGAAGACGAGTTTGGTGATCCGCAGTACTTTGACCCTAACGAAGCACGCGCGTTTCTGATTGAAAAGTATTATATGCTAAAACATGCTCTATTTAAAGAGTAATTTTGAGCGTTTTAAAAGAAATTTTAGAGGAAAAGAGTAATTTTGAGCATTTTAAGGACTTACGAATGTGTACACATACGTCCTAACGTCCGTGCGCACGGTAATAATAATACAGTGTCACAAACCCAACACATGTAACCGAAACGTAATTTCCAGCTTCAGTACGTGCTGTGGGCGTGGAAATGAACGTACGGCGCGTAAATTTTGGAATATTCAAAATGACCTGAAACGTGCTTTAAATTATCTGAAAAGTGATATTAACAATTTTAAAATTTTAACGCACAAGTACGAATACCTTTAACGACGTGCCTGACGACGGTAATGGCACATGAATTTAAACCTTGTCAAGTTGTTTGGAAATACCACACGAATTTTGTCTTTACAGTATACGAACTATCGGTCTGATAGCGTCGAAATACAGTCTGCCGCCCTCGATTTTTAATGTGTTTACATCTTTTAAGAAAGAAAGATGAGAAGGCTCTAAAGAAAGCATTCTTTTTGACCATGATGACGTCATCAAAATAAAAGGGACACTTTCGAAAGAGAATTGATTTAGCTATAACATACTCACAGGTGGGAGAAAATCAATCAAGATAAGCGAGTACGTTCAAACGAGTATAAAAAGTAATAAAGTCATATATAAAAATTCAATTTTTCCTAATTCAAATGGCAATATGATGACGTCACAATGTCCGATCTGCCATTATGAAGTAAGAAATCGTATCTACAACTCATGTGCTTTCAGATTATGTAACAAAAATAGGGGGTCACCTTTCATCCTAAGGATCTATAACTGATTGAAAATATTCATGGTTTTATGCATGTATAAATGTTGACGCAGGCGTACGTGCACGCTAAAAGGCGCGAACAGAAAATTAAGGTACATAACATTCAACCTTGACCTGAAGCTTATGCTCACCTAATATGATTGGGAAATGACGAATGGTTAAGATTATATGGGGGCATCAACGTTTTGAAGAAAGAGAAATGAGGGGGTCAGAAAAAAACAATTTTTTGACCATGATGACGTCATCGAAATATAAAAATGGGTCAAATATATGAAAGAAAATTGTCTCAGCTATAACATACTCAAAGTTGGAAGACGATCGACCAAGGATAAGCGAGATACGCTCAAATGCGTATTTTCAAAAATGACGTCATAGCTATAATTCACTTCCTTGAATTCAGATGCCAATATGATGACGTCACAATGTCCGATCAGCCA